AAGCGTAAGAAACGCTAGCCACCCTTCGACTGCAACGTCCGAAGATGTCACGCTTTGATGCAGGGAAGGGAATTTTATCGCAAAACAAAACACCTTAAATGCGTGGGAAACAAACGTGGTCCGATAGAGCCCGTCTGATTTCTAAGACTATGTTTTTACCAGGCATCACAGTCTCCGAAGAACCTTGCCGGTCAGGACAATATGTGCAATGAATGTGGACTTGGCACGTTCGTGTTTTTAAGGTTGTCGTCTTTTTTAAAACATCTCATGATGACTAACAGCACCTACAAAACTATCCGCAAAAACATGCTGAAATACTTATGCGTACTAATGTGTGTTCTCTTCTCCGAAGGTTCCTTTGTGAAAGGCTCGCAGTGTCGCAATCGCCCATTCATCCAAAAACCGGAATTCAACTTGCTGTACAGTAAGGATCGGAAGAAAATGAGCATGGAGTACTGATTAGGCCCTGCTGCATCGAGAACGTGAAAACCATGCGAGTGTTGACGCAGTACAGTGTGAAAGTTATCTATTTCTTTTGAGTGGCCCTGTCAGACCCTGGTTCATGCAATGCCAAGGCATACGGTGGCAGAGGTATTTTTTATCTCACGCACATAAATTTCACTAGCAACCCTGATCACCATTGTGGTCCACTCGCTGTGAGCAAATGATGTGCTGGGAACCAATGTTGTCAGTAATCGTACTTCGGCGTGATTGTATGGTGTGACTGTCAACACCACAGTTTTCTGATGTACACCTAAAATTTAAGAGTTGAATTTAATCTTTCCTCGACACAGTTCGTCAAGTGGTTTCTAGATCTTTGGTAGTCAGTCTCTATCGCTGGCGAAAAGAATGGGTTGAGCTGTCCAGATCCGCTACCGCAGATAGCCACTCGTGGAGAGGTACAATACGTGAAATCATTGACACCGGCTGGATCTGGCCTGATCACATCCGTACACATCAGTACACGGAATCAGTAATCGAAGGATTAACATGGTAGTTGTCAGGGCAAGTAGTACGTACAGGCAAGAGATATGACCCGCGTGTTTAGAGGATATCCAAAAACTGAAATGAATCAGTAGTAAGAGAGTCTGATTGCTCGAATGCCACTCTCCAATCGCAGTTCCGACGCAGGTCTAGCCTGCTTAGCGTACAACTGGCCAACTGAGACTTCCTAGCCCGATAAATAAGATACACCAAAATTTTTCGCGCTGAAATAGAGGCGAAAGCGTCCTGTTGGCGAAGACGACCAAGTTCCAAAACTGAGCAAGAACGAGTAGGCATGAAAAGCATTCGTGTTCCTGTGATTTGCAGGTAGACCGGATGATCGGGAGATTGCAGTGAAAGATGATCATTTGCGAAGCCTCATCCGGATTGGAAATTGCCCCCTGATGCGGAATATTTCGGGCCTGCAGAGCAGTCCTGTCCCACAGGTATATTTGCCCTTTCATGAGCGTCAATTGCCTTCTCCTTAAAAACTAACAAATAGAATTCACTTTATGCTTCTTTCGACCAATTTTTGAAGGATTTTTTTTTACAGTTCACTGTTTTCATGTCAGACTGCATATTATAAACGCGAACTGAACACTGCCCGTTCATTAGTTCACTTGAAAATGCATTTTAAGTTACTGTGAACGTACTTATATGGGTGCTAAATAAGACATTTAATTTAGTTATTTATTTATTTGAATCCACCGAACAAATAGTGATGAACGGCGAAAAAAGGAATAAAGCGGGTATCCTATATATCTGACATAACGAATGCTGCGGCAAGGAAGGAGACTGGTTGAGTAATAGAGCCCCTTGTATGATTTTCCGACTTTTCAAACACATGCAGGGGTCCATCATCAAAGACGACAAGAGCAGCGGAACGGGCGACAGCATTAACCAGGGAGTATAAGCCCATCGACGACTAGCATCCAGCATAAAGAATACGGCTGTCCCTAAGCTTTCATGGATAAGACGGAGCCTACTGCTCAGGCGACGTAAGCGACTCGGCTACCACCAGATGAAAAAAACCATGTCGGAAAAAATACACTGTACAAAAGTTCTGCAAAAATTCAGTTAACTCTTAAATTCAAGGTACACATTAGTAGTAAAAATAACGATTATTACCTGTCGAGCAGCCAGCTTGTCGTGGTTTTGTCAAAGAAAGTAACTTTCTGAAATATTAAGCGCTCGAAGAGCATACATCTGAGCCTTGAAGCGACGCGTTCCCCGACTGTAGCCAGGAAGCCGATGTAAACGAAAGTGCACAGTGACTAGGTTGCAAAAAAGAACAAGGGGGATTCCTAACTTTAAAAAATCTCAAAACTACGCGATTAAAATTCAGAATGACAAGTAATGGCAAGCCTTTCTTTCGTACACTGGAGCTACCAAAATCTGTTCAGAGTAAACGACATGGGCATCTAAAACCTGTTATAACCTCTACCTGTGATTACCTGGTAGTTATGGCAGGCCTCGAATTTCAGCTTCTTAAAAAAGTATGCTATAAACTGCGCCAATAAACACTTAAAGGCATGTTCCGAATAGCTAAAGATGACGGAAGTGACTGTCAGAGTCGCGGTTATTCGGCAACATGGTCAATCAATTATTGCTGTCAATACTCCGTGTTGGATGCTACCTGAAACCGGGTAAGCTATTTGTACATCGAAATAACAGAAGACTGGCGCTGTGCCTAGCATAAGACCGTGTACGGAAGAATTCCTAGTTCGTAATCCAAATATGCGTAAGCCAGCAGCGAGCTGTAATCAAACCTGATAAGTAGGGTGGCAGGAATTTAGTTAGCTCTTCCACTTCACCTTCATGTCATCTGGCTAATTCTTCTGCCTGAGTCTATCTCTACAGGAATAGAATTAGACCGAAGACAACCTGAGTTCAGCTTCTGATGGCCAGAATTCATAGTGAAGAGTTTAGAAAGGATAGACATCAACACCGCAGGAGACACGTTTAAAGTAACCGCAATTTGGGGAAACTACCGGAGGAGACGCAAACTAGTGGCTCGCCGAAAGAAGCCATGGTCCAAAAAAGGGGAAAATAAGGTGCATTTTTATAATTACCAATTGCATACGCACTACGGATATGTGAGATAGATACTTTTAAATAGCCGAAAATACCGGCTGTTGTTGATAAAAAAAAATGGCTAGTTAAATAAAACCAAATGAAGTTTGAGAGGTAATGCTCTAGCCAGAACACTCCAAAGCAATTGGCACTTTCGTCAGAGTTGCCACGGCTAAAATGCACCAAATAAAATACCTACACAAATTGAGTGTAAACGCACCTGTAAAGAATAAGCGCCACAGAGACGAATCGAAGGTGCTCGAAGGGAGGACAAAGAAGAACCAGGTGAACTCGACAGCCTGGCCAACATGTTCACAAGATCGCCCAGGAGAAGTGGAATGCGAATATTATAGTAGGCTGCACCAAAGGCACCCTAGAGGATTCGCTACGAGACATATTTGAGGACATACCACAAGTGCCAGCAAAATAAAAGGCAGATCAGCCCAGGTCAGTGCAAATACACAGCTTAGGGAAACAGAGTCAGTGGCGTCATCGGCCTCATCAGAAGTGGTCTCGCTGGTCGGGGGCGGAGACGGCAGGGTTTCGGCGGACACGGAGATCTGTTCAGGAAATTTACAGCCAATCGCCAACTTTGGAAGGGTGACCGCGCCAAGTAGGCCCGCGCCGGCGACACTAAGGCTCACAGCCGTATATGTTACCTTGTATTTTTTAAGATGTGCCTTGCATAGTCTTGAAAAGGATGGCTTCGCAGGGCTACTTAGAAGAACATTTGTGGGACGAAAGATCAAACGATTGCGCAAGAGGTTTATGGTACTGCGAGCCAAATTCATTATCACAGTGACAGTGCAGAGGCCTACAAAGAAATCAGTTATAAGGTGAGCTGAATTATGAATTCAATGTGATGAGGTAGAAGATAAAATTGTACTGTAGATGTAATATCATTAGGAAGTGTGGATGTCGAAATCAAATAATGATCGATAATAATACGGTCGTAAGTTAATCAAAGGAGTAATATGTCGAAAGGCCCGTGGCAGAGAACTAAAAGTTTCACAGTTGAACCAAAACACTCTTTTCTTATACCCCGACAACACAGTACTGCAAACGGAGAGTTATCAAGAAGTCCACAAGTACTCGCACGACTTACATAGGTGACGTACACCTAGGTCAATAAAACGTACACATAAGGATTTAAATGTAGGTTTTATGGCCTTGCGGAAGGAGCGCAGGCTCATCCTGGCTAACTTTTTAACATTTCGGTGGGACATTCACAGAGGCCAAAGGATGACTGTCCGGTAATATGGAATCCAAAAGTATAAACCGGTTAAATGCATGCTGTTAAGCATGTAGCATGGTGCAGGTAATCCTTATTTGGT